GTAGGGAAGATTTCATGAGTGAATATATAGCGTTATTAAGACAAAGACTTTTCCAGAGGTTTATGCCCTTTAATCTTAGGGGAGGAAGCTCTTATGAGAGAAAACACCTATCCAAACTTGTTCTTTTGTGTTGTTGCATGCATCCATACACCCACACTCACAGCCTTTCCCCAACATCCCATTCACTGTAGTGAATTAATATTGTCATCAAGCTCACTAACTCCAGGGAAGGAGTGGGGACAGTTCTGTGGGAGAAGGACAAAACCTCCTGAACTTTTACCAAAGCCAAGTCCATAGGTTTTGTTCTCTGGTCAGCTAACAATTTCCGCCTTCAGTTATGCCAGGGAAAAGTGATCAAAGCTTTTATTTCCCTTCCTGGTGCCACACATTCTCATCATCATCATCTTGTTGGAGTTGGAGTCAGAATTTAAAATCTGTACACAGACCATAAGTGAGATTCTTCATGTTGACTTACTCGATGCAGGACTGGGGTACTAGTGACCTAACTGGGGTACTACAAGATGGAGGTTTTGTATAGGTGATTGGGGGGAAAAAAAAATAAAGCTTCACAAAGCTGAATTTGGGTTGCCTACAAGATTGTGTTATCTCAATCCTGTAAGATAGTCAAAACCCAAGTTGGCATAGACCTTGGCAGCTTACTGTAGGTAACCATGCTTTGAGCAAAGGGATTGGGCTAAATGGATCTTGAGAGGTCCTTCCCAACCTCCATTTCTCTGTAAACCGTAAGTGGTTTAATGTAGTCTGCCTTTACTGTTATTTGTCCACATCACAAAAAATAGTTGTTATGTATCTGGACATCAGAAAGAAACTGGCTAGCACATTTGGTATAAAGGTATTAGAGTTCCAAGAGATTTAAGTCATTTGAAACGTATATGTAGTTGTGAGAAAGATGAAAGATGACTTATAGAAAAGCTCCAAGGCTGTTTATTGTGGTTTATGGCCTTTTTGAAATTCTAAGCAGACTTTTAGGCAGGTGAATATTTAAAATACAGCTGACTAACCCATAAATTGCATATCAACTTTCTTTCTAGAGTAAGAAACAGCACATCCCTTATCGAAACAGCAAGCTCACTCGTTTATTAAAAGATTCTCTTGGAGGAAATTGCCGAACAATAATGATAGCTGCCGTTAGTCCATCGTCTATGTTCTATGATGATACATATAATACTCTTAAGTATGCAAACCGAGCAAAGGATATCAAGTCTTCTGTGAGTGTGCTGGTATTTATTGATGTGTCAAATTATAATAAAACAGTATTGAGGGAGTTATTTCTTTTAGAAGATTGTCATTTCCTTTACTTCTGCCCTAAAATTTTGTTCATGTAGCTCTTGTTTCTTACAATTAACTACTCATCTGAATGAGAAACGGGAGGTACAAAAAGCAACATAGTTTCATTAGTGGGATGATGTTGCCAGTTTGGAAGTTTATTTTGTGAGCATCAGTTTTAGAAATAATTCTCAGCTGATAGAATTCACAGCCAGTTTCAGTGTCTTACTACTTTCTTAGGGAACTGTAAAGCATATTAAAGAAATGTCTAAGCAGTTGTGCAAGAGCCAGTCCAGGTTTGTTACAGGTAGAATTCAGCTGGAGATTATATTGATACATCAAAAGCTACTGGAGTGACCTATTGTCTTCTCTCCATTTTTCTATAATCCTTTGTAGTGTTGCATCTAATTTCTTCTGTCTAATATGGGTTGACTGTAGTTTCGACATGTTGCAAATGTAAAGTTAGTTTTTACACGAAAAGGTAGAAGATAGGCATAAAATAGTAAACCTAGTCTGAATAAGTGCAGAATGTGCTTGTGCATATAAATAATTTTTTTATTGTTCTGTTGAAGGAAATGGTAATGGGAGTGCAACAGGTGACTCAAAAGTTGGGAGTCATTTTTGTTGTGCAAGTCAGTATTTTATTTACCCCTTTCTTCATAATGCAGTAAAAGTGTAATTATGTAGTACTTACAGACAGTGTATTTATTACACAGGAAAACATGAAGGAGCCTTCTTAAATTCTGACTTGTTCCTTTTCTTTAACAGTTGAAGAGCAATGTTGTTAGTTTGGACAGTCACATAAGCCAATATGTTAAAATCTGCAATGAACAAAAGAAAGAGGTATGTAAAAAAAAAAAAAAAAAAAAAAAAAAAAATCTATTAAAACTGTGAAAAATTAGTTGTTACAACTTTGAATAAAAATATGTTTGTGGGATTAAACCTATATGGTAATAGTGTCCTAATTCTGCCATGCCATGTAGTCTTTAAAAGTAAGATATTTTGTCCTCTAAGAATAATATTGCTTACTGCCATTTGTAAAGTCTTTCAAGACCTAAGCACAGAATGATAGGTTTAAGAACAACAGACTCGTTATATTCCAACTAAAAGGTACCTTTTTTGGTTTAGATCCTAATGTTGAAAGAGAAGCTGAGAGAATATGAAGAAAAGCAAGGAAGCATTCCTGGAAATTCTAATGCTGCAATACTTTCAAACAACCAACAAGTGATAATACAAAGGTAAGTGAATCACATGATAATCTTGCTTCAAAATTGGGGTTTGCATAACTTGTAAAAGCATTTGTAAAACAACTCTTTCCAATATAGGTTTCCTCATTTTTAGCATTGCTTTACTTAGGCTAGGTGTGGATTTCCATAATTTATCACTTTACACTTCACAGCTTGATGGTGGATTTAAAACAAAGCAAATATTGTACACTTGAAATATCCTGACGTTAACCTTCTAGGAAAATTTCGTAAAACGCTGCAAGATAACTGTGATCCTCAAGAAGCTGACATAACTCACTCTGACATCACAATTGAGATCAGTGATGAAGGGTCTTACATCTATAGGTACTTTCTTATGAAGTATTTCCTAGGTTGACAGAAGTGCAGCAATATCAGTATTCTGTGGATTGTATTTGTTCCTTTTAAATTTTCATCCAAACTGCTGATATCAAGAGTATTTTTTTGTGATAGGGAATTGAACCTTACTGAAAGTTATGACCTTCATCAGTGCACACGTGGTTTTTAAAATGCTTATGTGCTGGGTTTTTCTAAAGCGTATCTATAGCTTTGTTACTGTAATGAAGAAATTTCATGGCAGAATGGGGTATTTTTGTCTCAAGGCTACCGATGATATTCTGTATTAACAAGCAGACAGAATTCTACCACTAGTAACACAAAAGATGTTATGACAAGTGTTCTCATAGGAAGATCTAGAGCTCTGTAGGGCTAAGAAGTTCTTTTCTGCAATCAAAAGCTAACAATTTTGGAGAAAAATAACAACCTTCTTTAATCTTAGTTGTATAAAGTACTATTTTGCAATGTAGATATTCAGAATAACATCAAAAGTAAATTTTATCAATTTCTTAGCCTGTTTTGAGCCAATATTTAGCAAAATTGCTATGTATTGGTTTTAAGTTACTTTGGCTTTTTGGATCTGATGCCTGTTGTTGCATTATTAAAAGGATCCCCATGTGAGAACACGGTCTTTCAAAAAACTGAGAGCATGTGTGTGTATACATACATATGCATGTATACATATACACACACATGTGCAGTAGCAGATAAAAATTATGTGGTGCCAGCCAGCAAGCTAAAAATTCATCAAACAAAAATACAGTAAAGAACCCAAAGCAAACAAGCCAAACTACTAAATAGCCAAACAACTGGTCTGTGTGTGTGGGCTGAGCCATAGTCTAACAATAGAAATAGAATGATCAATGTAACAAAAGAGTAATGTTATATTTCAGTTCTATGTAATACAGAAGTACAATGTGTTTAAGAAAGGGGAAAAGAAGTTGAACTTAATAACAACAAAAGCTTCCTGATAGATCTGTCTATAGGACAGTCTTACTTAAAGGGATAATAAGTCCATCTCACAGGACTTTTAAAACCAGGCAAAGTCTTTTAATAACAGGAAAAAAATCCTGTTTCTGGTAGGAAGCTTGTCTTCATGACACAAAAAATGAGCAATGTCCTACAAGTAAGAGTGAGTTACTAAAGTTTTGAAGGTATTAATAAAGTGGTCAAAATCTAGACTTCTAAAATCAAGATGATAGGTTTTGAGGAGAGGCACAGTATTATTTACAAGACTTCTTATCAATAACTCTAGGAACATGTTACCAAATGAAACTTAATTTGAAATTCCGAAACTATAGTCTAAGTTCTAATGGTGGTGTTTTTCCTCACAGTCTACTTTAGTTGTTTAAGTAATTGAGCAGACAACACACATAAGCAGCAGGAAGGAGCATATGAATGCTAGCTTTCAGCGAAGCTACATAACAGGTCTTTTTTGTGGGTGGGCAGAACGCAGTTTGCATAAATGAAAGCTGCTGCTGCCAGATAGTATTTTGGTAATAAGCTTCCTGCAAGGTTTAAGAGAGGCAAGAACTTGAAGTTCTTCTTTCCACAGAGTTTAATTTATGTTTGTAGGTTCCTCACTTTCTATTGCTTTTAGATTTCTTGGTCTTTTTTTATTCTTGGTGATGTTCCTGTCTATCTTTTCTGATGTGACAGTCTCTCATGACAGCACACAAAAAGTAACAGATTAAGACATGATATATGAATTTGTTGCAGAAGTCAATCTATTCCGTAAGAAGGTTGGGTTTTTGTGTGAAGGTCTTTCTGGATCTGTCTCTGCATATCTCGCCATAAATTTCTGAGAATTATTCACCTGGGTTTATTCAGTTAACTTATTGGCCATTTGAATGTGGTATTTTTTTAACCTGGAAAACTTTGGTTAAAAACCCATTCAAAGCAAAATTCTCTCTGAGCTTCATTTTACTGGCTGTCCAGAGGTTTCAATAAACCTCTCATTCAGGTTTATTTTTATTTAATTTTCAAAAGAAGTGTAGGCTGCCAAGCCATATTGAGAGTTCTGACAGTTTTCATGCATATTTTTGCACTGTAAGTCTTTAAGGTTAATTTAATTTCTTGTGATTTGCCCTTTATTTCATTCTATGTGTGTGGGAAGAGTCAGTCAAAGGCAAGGTCTCTAAAACATCTTTTCAAAATGCCGGACACATTCCATGCCAAGATTTTTCTTGGTCAGAGAATGTTAGGGTGTTAATGTTCTGGAGACATGTAAGCTTATCCCAATCCCTCTAGATATAGGCAATAAAGTAGATGTTTCATTCTGTTCTTCCTCATGAGGATCCTGTCAGGTTCATCCTACTGATGGTATGGGTGATGAGTGGTTTCCCCCATGTCTGTTTACAGGTTTTGAAGATATTCTACTGTCCTTTCCCTTCCATTTGGGACAGGGTAGAGAGCCTTATTCAGAATCTTGTGTTTCAGTCCAACAACCTATGGCTTTTGCTTCACTGCTATCTGGACGAGACTCGCTGATTACACCACTTGCTGCCTGCAGGATCACTTTGTCATTTTTAAATGAAGAAGAGAGGGTGGAGATAAGAATAGAAGTGTGCTTACTCAAAGAATTAATCCTGTTCAAGGCAAGAGATTTGCAAAGGCTTCGTTACTTGATGCTATATTTGAGATACTGATCATTATAGGTACATAGAGTTGATTTACCTGTAATGGTTCCTCACGGTGACTGTACACAGAATCTACAGCCTCTCTTACAATATGCCCAGGGTTTTACTGTGAAGTAAATTGAGAGGATTCACCTTCATTTCGTATTGCTGTGTTTCCCAGACAGCTGGGAGGAACAATGTTTCTATGGATACTACTATAGTAGTGCAGACTGTATAGATAGTAACAGTGTAGGGTAAGAACTCTGATATTCTGCAGCTGACTATGTTGTACCTTAAAGAAAAATTATGTCTAAATCCTGTGTGGGCTTTAGTACACAATTTACCTAGATATATAGACACTTAAGTAAAACTGCAGAATTTCTAAAACTGTACTTAAAAATTCGTTAATTCTGTTCACTTTTACGATGACAGTAATAAAACACTAGAATAAAAGACTTGCCATTATTCAGACTTTAGACTATGTTACGGAATTGTGACTTCTAAAACAGTGGCAAGAAGTCAACTACATCGTAAGAATGTCTTTTCAACTTGCTCTCTGGTTGCACCTATGTGTTATTTTATAGTATTACTATGCTATTTAATGTTGTTACTGTTTATACTCAACACTGTATAGTGACCTCAAATGTTGCATGTCTTTAGAACGTTTGCATGCTACCGGCTCGTCTTAAACCACGACAGCATGTTAAACTGTGCCTTTATTCTTATGGAAAGTTCTAGCATGTCAGTAGGATGTTATGACATGGCTTGTATACAAGGTTGGTCATTATTGAAATATACAGTATCTTTTTGGGCTCTTCTGTACTGCATTTTGAGTATTAACAAGTGAAGTGAGAAAGTGCCATGACTGGAGCTTATATTGCAATATGGTAATGCTTCTAGGCTTTTTCCTTGTCTTTGTTATTCTCATTTACATTGCAGGCTAAGGATAAACAGATTTTGAGGCTATTTAAACATTGGTCTCATTAGAGTAAGTTTTAAGTACCTTCTATCACTAGTTTGTGGTTTTCCCACCTCTTAGCCTAGTATGTGTTAAAACATGATACATGGTCGGATTTTTGTCATCCATTGGTGATTAAAATTGTACAACAAAACTTCAGAGAAAGGGAGCAACTGAAGAATTCCGGTTTTAATTTTTTGAGAGATAGCTAGAAGGTTTTGAAGGAGACCTTGTGTGTCTATGGCAACAGTGGTCTGATATGTTTGATAAATTGGTATAAGGAGAGAACATGGGTATTAAATTTGTTTTGGAGGTAGAGATAAGACCTATGTGAGTAAGTTAGACATCTTTCTTTTGAATCCCAGTGTCTTCTTCATAAATACAACAAGGCTTATTTCTAGTGTCCCCTGTTCAAAATTTCACATCCCATTTCTAGTTCGAATACATAAAATCATTATTGATCTGCTGACACTTTATTTAGTTGTCATCTAGAACAGGCGTTACTTTTTTCCTCTTAATTTTTGTATATTTATTTCATTAACCTGTAATTGAAAGTTCCCCTTGAGTGAAGGAGATGGTCATTCAAAAAAAAGTCTTCAATAAGTAATCCATGATTTATTATTATCTTTTGGTTCTAATAGATACAAAGAAATCCTTCAAAGTGTGTTTGCAAACCGTGAGGAAATCAGAAAAGAATACCTCAAATTGGAAATGCAACTAAAGGAAAATGCACTGAAGACACATTACCAGAAACAATGTCATGAGCAAATCCAACTGATTTGTTCTGAAGAAAGAGTAGAAAAGGTGAGTTTTCTGTAAATTAATACAAGGTATCACCTTAGTTTTGCTGTACTAATGTATGATTTTGCTCAAGTAATTATATAATCACTTAATGCTTAATGATTAAAATGAGACCAATTATCACTTCTTCGTGACAAACTGCGTTAAGTGTCTTAATTTTTTGAGTGTATTGCAAACTACATGTGTCCTCTGAATAGAAGGAGTCTCCTTTGCCTTGTGAGGACACTGCCTCACTCATTCTGCTTGCTGGTGCTGGTTTTGTGCCTTTTTCCTTGTCAAATTTCAGAGAAGCATCAGAAAAATTTTGGTGCTTGAACATAGAGGGTTTTCCTTTTGTCAGATACTCATCCTTTAGTGAGTTCTGCTTGGGACATATCGCTTTAGGAAAACAAAGCAGATTGAATTCCTTTTCCATATTCATGCTTGAGTAGAAATCATTAGGTTATTTGTATCTAGAAGTGTGCCTATCTGTATGTGCACAAATAGTTTTTCAGTCTTTCCAACTTAAAATAATTATGGCCTGGAACAGAAATTGGTCAAATCCAAGGTGTTATTCTTCAAAGGAATAATCGAATGACACTGTTTTCTGTTATAAAGGTTCCAGGAAAAAGGGGGGGGAGGGAGAGAGGGCAGGGTGGGAAAGGAGGAATGAAAATGTTTAAAGTAATGCCTGTAAGGAGACTGTACTACTTAACTTCTGTTAAACTGATCAGAAATGCAAAATGTTATTCCCAGTTAAGTATAAAAGTATGGAAAAAGACTTTTCTGAGATAGAGATATATAAAATATTTGTGAACATCGTTTAAAGGTTTTCACCTTAAATGCTGATTTTTAGGCCACTTGCAAGAGGGATCAAAGGCTTGCAATGCTTAGAACCCACCGCATGCACATACACCAGAAGAGAGAGGAGGAGGCTAAACTTTTTGAGGAAAATACCAATTGGCTGCATCGTGTTGAGAATGAAATGTGTCTCCTGGGTCAAGATGGGTGCATTCCAAAGGTAAAATGCCTTTCATTTTCAGTACAGGTTTCATGCATCGTAGGCAACAACTGACTATAGTTAAGAATAGATTTTAATTATTTCCCCACCACCACCACCTTCTCTGTCTCACTTCTATTCATGGTTCCTGCCATTCTTTCAGAGTGGTTTCAAATTCCAGTGTTAGTTGCTTCTGTTCTTTTGCCCTAAAATGGTTCATTATTTGTGCAAGCGTTCCTTGGTCATGAAAGTAGATGATGACATGCAAAAATTTATGCTAAAGGGATTAAGTATGCTATTGCTGGGCAGTTCAGAGAGCTGCCAGTATTGATGCTGCTCGTGGCCATTCACTTCTAGTCTTGCCTTTACAGTAGCTCCTGATGCTTGTCAAACCATGTGTCAACCTATTTCTTAGCCTGGCCAAAAAAAAACTTTGCTAGGAGAAGAGTGGGAAGGGGAAAAGAAGTGGGAAGTTAAGCTCTGTGCCAAGTATTAGCAACTAGAGTCAGCTCAGTGCAGCCTCAGACAAGCACCAGAGCTGGGAGAGGAGATGAAGGCTGTACAGGAACAAGGGCAAGACAAGACGGCTGGGGTGTTGTTCCTCTGTGCCTTTTGGTTTCAGCCAGCAAGTGGGGTGGCTTAAATGATACCATAATGAGCGCTGATCTGACTCATATATTGGAATATATTTCAATACCTGTATTTTTATTGGGATGACTAATATGTGTTGCTACCTTAAAATAAATTAAGATATTTCCAAGAGGACACTGGTATCTTGGAAGATGACTAAGTACAATGAGGACTTGTCCCAGATAATGTCACTGAAACTCAGATATGGAGCCAGCGCACAAGAAAAGATGAGCATATTTTTGGGCATGCATAGATAATCATGGATGTGTGCCTGTTGGATTCTTAATGCTAATTACAGCACACTCACTCTTGGTCAAACAACTTTACAAAGCATTATTTATGCATGTAAAAGAAAATCAAAAAACTCATTTTTACCATAAAACATCTTTACTTTTCAAGATAGGATGATTTAATATTACTTTCTGTTTGAATTTTAGTTTCTCACTATCAGTTTGATGTTCAGTTGTTTCGTTTTGGGTTGGTTTTTTTTTTTTCCTGTGCTAATTTCCCAAGGAACTCTGTGAAGATCTGCAGTGTTGCCATTTAAACCTAGAAGTTAAAGACTTGAAAGCCCAGATTGAGCACATGTTATCTCTGGTGGCCCTTCAAGATCGGCATTATAAGCAGACAGAAAAGTAAGTATGGTTTTGTAGCAGCTGTGATAAGACTTCTATGCTGGTATTTGTAACTTCGGAAGACATATCTATAGAATTTTTAGTTGAAACAGGAGCAAGATGTTTATCAAACATTTTTTCTGTGTTAGAACTGTGTTTCAAGTAAGATGTAAAATAATAACAACTTAGTAAATGTTGGCCTGTATCCACAATTGTTTAACAGAAACTGCAGGTATACTCCAGTGCTTCTTATTTCTATTTAACTTTCTTCTTTGCATAGTTTTTCCAAATTGTTCAATAGCTCCAGGTGTCTTTATTTTCTTCTGTGTTGAAGAGCAGTATTGATTATTTTTTTTGTGTGTTTGTGTTCTCTTCTAATTTCTTGTTTTGTTAACATTAATAAATTTACCTGTGTGAAAAGTAGTTACTATTGAACTAGAATACAGCTATTCAGACTGGAAAAAAAAAAATCTGAATTTGCAGGTAAGCACCAGCTCTTTATTATCAGTCTCTTGAAAATGTTGCTTTTCTTCCTCTCTTGGAGAAGAAGCTGTTACCATAAACATGACAAAAAGTAATACATAAGCAAGCTTTTTAAAGATATCTAGTTACTAATTACAAAGCTGCCTCTTTGGCTTGTACGTATATAGATATATATATATGTACTCCTTCCCATTTTGCATGAACCTAGTGTTTAGTCTTGCAACTGACTCCACAGTTAATGAATTCCTGTGTTCAGGCGGAATTCCTAAGCTTTTGTCACTTTAATTTGATTTGCCGGAGTGTATGGATCTTAATGTATTCCATTCTTTAATTAAAGATCATAATATCTTAATTTATTTGGACTGGGCTTCTAATAAGGTTCTATGCACATATAATTAAGATCTCCTAGGTTTAATCCACATTATTTGTTTTATACTCTTGTTCATTTATCTGATACTTAATTTTAGAAAGTCATAATTCAATCAAGAGATACTGACCTTCTGTGGTGTTTGAGGGACTGAAGATCTTAGACACACTTAGTAAATGCTTAGAGTGAAATACAAGGCTTTTCCAAAGAGAAATATCACTCTACTTAGTCATGAACATTTCCTATTAGTGTCATGGTATTCCCTTAAAAATTAAAATACATAGCAGAACTTAGGGGTAGGGGGAAGGGTGTGGAGAAGGGCAAAACCTTCTTGCATTCCTAATTAGTAGCAATGCTAGTAAGGTACAGATTAGTTATGATGTAGTCATATTTGTCTTGCTGCTTGTTATTTTACAGAGTGCTAAATACTTTGCTTCCAGTTCTTCGCAAGCAGTACCTGGCTTTGAAAGAAGCTGGGTTGACACATAGTGTATCTGAGACTGAATATGGGGAGGTTGAGCAGCTGATACAAAGACAAAAATCAGTAGTTTGGGCTGACCAGGCTGAAGAGAAGGAACAAAATCAAAACCATGAACTAGAGTTGTCTGCTGTCTTTGCATTCCCACAGCTTGTGAACAGACCAAACACCCCATGCCGTAAGTATATAATTTATTTGTTCTCTGTTAGAAATAGATTTCAGTATCTCCTGCAAAAGCTATGCCATCCACAAACACAGTGAATGTACACTTCTAGAAATACCTAAGCCAAATGTAAAACTGAGCCTTGGACCAACTGTGTATAAATTATATACCACTCTTAACTGGATATAGAAAAGTTTACTTCTTCAATGGCTAGGCACTCTGCCAACAGATAACTCCCCCTTTATCTTGTAGCATATCCCATATCAATTTTCCTAGATTCTGTGAGTGTTGTTAATAATTTCATTTGAATCTTTTGTGTGACATTGATGGAAAAGGAATCTTAGTGACCAGAAGTATTATAATTCTGTTATTGATTTGAAATCTTAAGCAGCTAGTACAGTTTGCACAGTTTCAAGTAATAGCCTTGAGCGGGATGAGATTTCATATTAATTACAGGTTGAATTGGAATCAATTTGGAACCATATTTCCAAGAATAGAGGGCTTCACCATTTCTACCGTGGAATTGACTGCTTTACTATATTCCGATGGCCCCATTTTTTCTCCATAACACTATGTAGCTGGCTTTTCACCTGTAAAGTGAGTTGCTCTAGAGTGTAGCCTGGATAAAAAGGTATGAAGAATCCTTGCAGAAGGTGCTGTTGTAAGAGATGACAAGCAAAAATCTCTGCCTGATAGTGCAGCTGCTGGAGGCCAATGCTTGTGTCTTGTGCTCTGCATAGCCAGTACTCAATATACTGTGGCTTTGAAAGACATCCATAGGTAACAAGGGAACATGAACAGTAGCAGCTTTGCTCAGAAAAAACTCTATTGAAACAGTATTTGTAGAGTATAATTTTAATCTTAATGTGTCCTTACCTAAAATACTGGTGTTGACGCAGTCATTTCCATACATCTTGGGTTGTGAGGTGGAAAAAAGTCATCATTTACCAGTGCTTTAAAAAAATTTGTTGAGCATAAAATAAATAAAATAAAATAACTTTTAAATTGTTTGAAATCACATTTAAAATATTTTGAACTATTAGCCGATACTAATGTTATGGAAATATACAGAATGTCTGTAACAAACTATTCGGGGGAAAAAACAAACAAAAAAAACCCACAGAAATTAGGGAAAAAAACCTTGGCATGAGAACATGTGAAGTAGTACAAGAGCAACATCCCAATCATCATTTAAAGATGAAGTAAATTATTGAAGAATCCTTCTCCCTAAAGTCATCTCTGAAGTATGTTAGGCAAATGTTAGCAAGAGCTGACCTAAGAACTTGGTGAGCAAATACAAAGGAAGATTTATACAGATTTCCTCACACATTGTGGGGCTTTGGTATTTTGTTATTTATAATTTGTCCAAGAAGTTGGGAAGTAAATAGTGCTTGAAGAAAGAAAAAGTAAAGTGAAATTAATTAGCTGTGTTCTGCACAGTGGTCGTTATTCCTTATATAAAAATCCATATTTCACCTATAACACAATTGTGTTGACTTCAACTTCACAGCAGGAAAGAGCAATGCACTTAATTTCTTGTTATTTGATTCTTTCTTCTCATGCTATAAGTTGAAAGCAGTCATTTTTTTATTTTTTTTATTTTTTTTTTTTAATCTCACTTAATAGAAATATATGTAGCTTTGTGTTAGTGTCTCAGAAGTTTCTTTCCAAAATTATTTGCGGAAAGGATAGAAAAGTTAACTGGTGGCAATGTAATGTTTCATATGAAACCTAAGTCTTAAAATGTCTTGGAGGGAGAGCTGCTGATAACAAATGTGATGTATTGATTTTGAACCTATGTTAACACATACTGGAAAGAATACTTTTTTAAAATAGAAATCCCTCGGCAAGAGCAAGATGCTGCTCATGTAGAACACAGTAAGACCTATGAGGAAATATAAATTCCTCTTCAGTGTAAGCTTATGAAGTTAATAATTACGTATGTTTTGTTGAACTCAAAAGTATCTATGTATGCAGTATCCATGCATTATCTATATTTGGAAATTCCAAGTTAATGAACAAACAGCTCACTATGCATTTAAAATGGTAGTGATGCAGAGAAACATCTGTACTTAACGAAACTGTTGATTTCTACATGCCATAGAACATGAGGCACTAATCATTGCAGAAACTTTCTTTCATGACAAGTAACCTTTTGCCAGCAGTCTTTTTGGAGAGACCCATGACATGGTTTAGTTGCAGATGAATTGTTATTGAGTTTGTGTGTGTATGTATGTATATGTGTGTATATATATATAT